CAAAGAAAACACAACCCCAAACCCTGAGTGGCCAGATAGTCAGGCTCGGTCATATATTAAGTTATTGTGTGGGTGCCTCGTGTATGTTACTTAATGTGTTCCTCAAAGTCAAGGACGAGGGAGATCTGAGAGCACCTCACAGGAGGTGGTGCTAATGATCCTGAGGACCCTGGACAGAGGGTAGTATTGCATTCCTGGTGATGGTAGTTTTTGCACTTCTGCTGTTTGCCTGCCTCACACCGCCTGGAAGGCAGCTTCCCTTGCAGCCGGCGTGCCAGCGCGGCCCTCCGCGGCTCGCGTCGGGTGGCTGTGCCGTGCAACCTCCTCTAACTGGCTGGGAGCGCCAGCTGGCTTAAGAGCCACCAGCTGGCCACTTCTGAAGTGTGGCTTCTTATGACTGTCATAATTAATATTTGTGTTAATACCGTCTTATTCTGTTTGTAGTGGTTATATCCCTGTGAGGTGATGGAACTTTATTCTGTCTGTGAGAGAAAGACCTCACTTGAACCTTTTCTCTAACGACTTTACTTCTTGTGGATTGATGCAGAATTCCTGTTACTGTTGGTCAGCCAATTTTACGCAGGTGGGAGTTTCTTCTGGTGAGATTTGCTATTGCGTGTTTTTTTCAGACATGTCATAATACTTGTTTTCCAAGCAAATTTAAGAAATAGCCTTCCTTTTATTAAAGTATCGATACGCACTCTGCAAAGCTATTTTCAATGTTGGGACAAAAACAGGTAAGAGCTGCTGTGGTGGTATTATCTACTTGGTCAATAATACCTGATGCGCGTGTGCGTGTATCGTGTGATTTCTAGTTGATGCTATTTTACAGCAGTAGATTAATCACATGATTTAATGCTGGGAGAAGACATGCCTTATAATCTATTTTCCTTTGAGTGTCCCTTAAAGGGATGATCTGTTTTCCATACTAGAGAGCCTGTTCGTGAAAAACTGCTTTTGTAACAGAAACATGTACTGTCCCTTCATGAATATCCATGTGTCTGTGGATCTTATCAAAGCAATTCTTAGTCTAAGCCCAGTTTAGAGAAGAGTGCTATCTGGGTTATCTGAAAGAAGCAGGTGTCTAATGCTCTGTGCTTAGTAGTGTGAGTATTTGTTGTGCTTTTTCTTTAAAGCATAATTCGCATAATATATACTTGAGTAAAGTAGGGTGGAATTACCAAACCTGTGGCAGCTATGCGGAGCAGAGGCTGTGGGCAGGTATTCCCACCCTGCCAGCGAGCGGCATCTGCTCCCGTATCGTGAGCAAGCTGAAGTCCCCATTGGAATGGTTTCCTGATCGTATTGCTTCAAGAAAAGAACTTTTTTGGTAAGAACAGGTCTTGTTCTGATCTGTTAATGTGTATGATCAAGGTCCTTGTACTAAAGCCATATACAGAAATTAAGATGATTGTGCCGATTTAGTTAAATGTACCTACGTTAGAGGGTTTACAAGCTGCTCTAGCAATTTTTACCTTAGTGTTGTAGGTTAGACTTATTTTATCCTCCTTACAAAACTTTAAAGGATAGACCAGATCTGGAATTTTAGGGCAATTCTAGTTTTTGAGATTTTTGATCTATAATTTCGGTCTTTCCTGAGAAGTGATCAGTAGTCTGGATTTCTTGTCTCAGGGAGCGCACACATTTAGGGTAGGAGGGTAGCAGGAGGAGAAACAATTATCCATACTTAATCGTTGATGCCTGCAAAGTGTAGATAGGTTTGCATATTTAATGATGGCAGTTTTTAGCTTGCGTGCCTCAGGTGAAGTTGTTTACCTAATTTACAAATAAATGTTGGGGTGGTGCTTTAGCAAGTGTCTTGAGGATATCACTCTTGTGTGGAGCACTGAACGGTGATCATCTGTTAAGGTCTCCTGAATGTAATGCGTATGATGATCCTCGTGAAGGTGAAACTTTGAGAAGTGCGCTTTATTAGAAAAACAATGGGACTTTCATTTTATAGTGTATGGCTATATTATGCATTGGCTTATGAAATTAGTTGAGTATTTGAAACATACTAGTGTCAGACTATTTAAGATCTTGAAAACGTGTGTGTATGTAAAGAAAAAAAGTTAAATATTCATTTTCAGGCATGAGAAATAATGGATACAAGTAGAATACCTTTGAATATAATGCACAAGTATAATACATGATTTGAGTAATACGCTGGCATTTTGAAAGTGTTGCTGCAGAATCCTGATCTAAGTGTTTTTGAGAGACTTTTTTAGGTAGAGTATGAATTTGAAGTACGTAATTAAATCTGCTGTAGATAAGGTTAAAATTAAAGTCCTGATCCTTGTCCTATGTAACCCAAAAGAAAAATGACAACGTTTTATTCAGCCTCCTGATTAGGGGTATGTCATACTCGCCCAGCTGGTTTGCAGAGGTCCCTCTGAATGGCAGCCCAGCCCTCCGGGGTGTCAGCCGCTCCTCCCAGTCTCAGCACCTCCCGTCCCCCAGGACACGCTCCTCTTCTGTGCGCGTTGGACTGAGGAGAGGAGACCAGGCAGGAGCTGTTCAGGGGGAGAATGTTTCTGCAACTGCTCTTTCAGCAAGTAACCGCTTTGCATTTGACATAAATGGAAACGCCCCAGCTCTAGCTGTTGTCCCAGTGACTGGGAGGCAGGAAGGTCCCCTGCAGTGCTTCTGTGCACGACACCATGACCGTGCCAGTGCCTGAAAAGCCGATGAACCCAGGGTGGAGAGGGAGCCAGGCCACGCAGGAGGTGCGGACACCAAAGGGCTGTGTGATCGTGTCCTGCTGCCTGTGCCGCTCGCTTGGAGCTAGGCTCAGAGCGTGGGAGGTTTCTGGTTTAGGTAGCTGCTGCACTGAAGATCTCTCCTACTGCTCCTGCCCTTTAGTGCAGGGACATAAGCCAAGGCATAGAAGATCACTAGTTAAAGCTATATCACAAGGAAATCTGCTTTGCGTTTATATGGTGTTCTATCTCTAGTTTTTTACTGAGGTCTTACAGATATTTGTAAACGGGTAAGGTTTATGGCTGAAGGTGCACTAAGTTAACAAACTTTGGCAGATGGCTTTACTGTAAATTGCAAATATCCACTCGGTGTAGCTTGGCCTGATCATCTGGTCTTGTATGGTCACTTCAAATGCCGATGACTTAGTGGTGAAACGGCATTCTTATTTGTTGATCTGCTTTGGTCTGGCAACAGGCAAGCACATTCACTGTCCTTGTTCCTCGTTTCCCTTCTGCAGTGGCAACATGTTTTCCTGTAGTAACGCACTACTTGCAGGAGCAAAACCTGTGCCTGACCAGCTGTATACAGTACAGTTAGGTGTATGTTTGTGTAAGTAGTTTAGCTTAGATTTTTTTTGTGTGTGTGTGTATTTTTTTTTCCTTTAACCAATCCATAGTGATTGAGGAATGGAGTTCCATGCTAAAATCTGGAAAAGTGCATGATGTCAGCTAACACCACTATTTTCTTTATGGGAAGCTCTATGGTTGTAGATGAGATAGATGCTACTAGCGTACTGGCCTGGTCGGGTAAATCCTTCCTTCCACAAGCAAATTGATTGAGTGGATTTTTAAATAAGGTAGGTAAAATGTATTCTGTCAGAACCTCTATTTAATATACTTTTTTCCTTCTTTTAGATTTTTTTATCCCCTGTAGGGATGGTATGGGATCTGCTAAAATAAAACTAAAATAATTTTTAAAAATGTATGTGAAGTTAGTGTTCAAAATCTTTCAGACAGATAGTGGATCTAACTAATGGCTAATTGTGTGCAGACTTAACAGATAGGTGAATAAATTCAAATAGTTGGATTATTGTTTTTGGTTAGTAAGGTGAGTGAGTGTGTTTTCACAAAGACGGAGACAGCGTGTATAGCAGCAGTAGAAAATCCCTCTGCTTTTCCCATGAATAAGCTTGTTCTGTGTTGAAAGGATCATCTTAGAGTTAGAATGGGATTTGAGCTCTTAAGCAATTTAGACTTTCCT